GCTAATCAGTTTCGCGCGCGTCGTACAACGTTTCCGTAGCTCGCGGTCGTCGCACTTGCTCGTGATACAAACACCCGCGCCGGGATTCTCCACGCTCCGCCCGTACGCCTGTACGCCGCGATAGAAACCCTCGCTTTTACTTGACGGCGTGTCGCCGACTCTTTCTTCTACCGTCGCTGAATAATTTCGCCCCGCAATGAATAATTTTATCTTTATGTGCGAGGGCTTCCTGCGTTGGCTTCGTCTGAGGACTTCGGTAGCGTGTGTCGCCTGCAGATAACGCCCGTAATTCCTACAGCTGTCGATAAGCTGAAGGAGAGGCACGCGTGCACGCACGTCTTTTTACAGCTCCCGCGGCCATACGTTGCTTCTCGCAAGCACTCCGCACTATTCCTGTATCATTGTTTACTCGCAGCATCCCTGCATCATTTTTTGCTCGCATTATACATGCATCATTGTTACTCGCAGCATCCCTGCATCCTGGCTACTCGCAGCATCTCCGCATGATTTGCGGTTTTGCGGTTTCGCGAACCACTTCCAGGGCGGTGAATAATGCAGACGCTCGGAATTAATTCTGCACCTCTCTCTCTCTCTCTATTTCTCTCTCTCTCTCTCTCTCTCTTCTCTCTCTCTCTCTCTCTCTTTTTATCTTTTCGTCTCTCCCATCGCTCTCTTGCTCTTGCCATCTATCATCTCTCTTTCTCTCTTCTCTCTCTCTCTCTCTCGCTCTCTCTCTCGTCTATCGTGCGTGGCGCTCTCTCTCTCCCCGTCGGCGTCTCTCTCTCGCTCTCTCTCTCTTCTCTTTTCTCTGCTCTCTGTCTCGTCTCTCTGCTCTCTCTCGTATCTAAGTCTAGATCGGTCTCTTTCGCGTCGGCCTCTCTCTCTTCCTTCCCTGTCTGTCTCTTCCGGTCGTTTTTCTTTCGTGTTTTCTCTTTCTCTGTAGGTATCTTCGTCGTCACTTTTTCACGACGCGTTCTATCTTCGCTATTTTTCTCTGGCATCGGTGGACAGATGGCCTATCGACAGCGTGAGTACGCGCGGGAGGTGTGGCACGTGTGCGTATATTGCTGCGGTATGTGGTGGGTGTGTGCGCGCGCTATTGGATGCTTCGAGGAAGAGGAAGAGTGGCAGCACAATATAAATATAGTAAGAGTAGGGCTCTCTATCGTGTGTATATACGGTCTAACTGCTAGGCGAAATAGAGAGTGGTGAGAACGCGTGAGAGTGCAAGATGGGTAGATATGGAGCCACATATACAAAAGAGTAGAAAAATGGGCGAGATAAATAGAGAGAGAGAGGAGAATCGTGAGAGGAGAAGCCAGAGAGAGAAGGATGACTGAGAGAGAACCGAGAGATGAGCGAGAGAAGCAGAGAGAGAGCAGAGACAGGACAGAGACAGAGACAGAGAGAGAGATGACGGGGCATCTAGTGGTGTAGGGTACGGGCCTAACGGAACGGAGAGAGCAAAGCGGAACCATTGGGGTAGATATGGCTATACAGGATATAATAGCGAGAGCCACAGAGAGGACCTATGGTCGCTGGTGGTGCTGGAGGCTGACAAACGAGTGAGGGAGGCAGGCGAAGGACAATTTCGGGGGGGCATAGGGAGTACAAATCGGATAGAGGGCAGAGATGGTCAGTATTGGCGGCTTCGCAAGAAGGGCAGGACACGACTTCGTGCGGAGGTCTAGTCTGGCGGCGCTGTAGTAGGTCTTAGTTCTGTCGACCGCTGTAGATATCTGGTTCGCCAGCCGTGTAGGAATAATTAGCTTCTGTCGACGCTGTTAGAAAGGTCTAAAACTTGCCGGCCGGCTGTAGAAGATTTGGCTGCTAGCCGACGTATTAGGAAAGGTCTCAGTTCTGCGGCGTTGCTGTAAAGTTCTTAGCCTCTAATGGCGCTGTAGAAGGGTCTAGCTCTGCCGGCCGTGCTGTAAGGTCTGCTCTTACTCGGCCCGACTTTGTATACGGTTATCCTTACTGCTTACTGAGGGCATCGGTAGCCGCGCGAAGAGTTAGTTTATGAAGCTATGTGGGCGTAAGGCGCGCGTTGGGACATTACACGTTGAACCGGTGCTGCGGTTGCTGAGGGAGAGTGTCCTATCGGTGTCGAACGGGTCGCCGTCTCGCGCGCTCTCTCTCTATCTATCTATCTCTCGCTGTCTTTCTCTGTCTCTCTCTCTCTCTCTCTCTCTCTTTCTCTCTCTCTCGCTCTATCTATCTATCTTTCGCTGTCTTTCTCTGTCTCTGTCTCGGGCTCTGTCTCTCTGTCTCCGTCTCTCTCGCCTCCTCTCTCTCCCCTCCTCTCTCTCTCTCTCTGTCTCTGTCTCCGTCTCACTCCTCCCCCCTCTCTCTCTCTCTCTCTCTCTCCTCCTGCTCTCTCTCTCTCTCTCTGTCTGTCTGGTTCGCTGTCTCTCTGTTACGCGTGTACAGCTGGACTTCGGTATCTAGACTGCACACCTCATAACAGCTCCAGATCTTTATTCTTGAGCCAACGTAATTAATTAGCCTAATAAATCTATAAAAATAAATAAATGCAATAAATAATATGGCAAAATTGTCCCATCAGCCTAATACTATCCTGCATTGGTTTATTTCCACAATATCACCTAGATAAGTATTCCTTCGGCATTGCTCACGCGGTCGAGTCACGAAAATTTACCCCTTTCCCTAAAAACTGCCAAGGCTACAGCTCTAGTGAGCGCGTGTGAGAGGGGGTGTCTGCGTGTGTGCGTGTCTGTGTGCCTGACTGTCCACCTGCCTGTCATAATACAAGCTGTATTTACGCGCGCGATGTAGTTATGGGAAAAGGAAGAGCCCTCTGAAGACGACATTAGGTTGCCTACACGTGAAACTGACAGCGCTGTTGCGAAGAACCCCTGGCAGCGTTTTTATAGAAAGGCCTGGAACTCGCACCCAGAAGGATATTGGTCATTCCGCGCGTGTAATGGATGCTATCTCTGGAATAGAATAAATGTTGTTAGCACTACACCGTAACGCGCAATTACTGCTATTGCTCTCTAGCCGTGCTACTGTAACGTAAGGCCTTCTCATCCCAACTTTTCGCCCTATATGAAATCACGGTGTATAGTCTCGCTATTACGTACCGATACGCTACGTGCGCGTGCCACTGATCTTTATTATACTAACTCTTGTATACTAACTAATTTAGTATAATAGAGATCAGTGGCGCGTGCGTGCAAACTTTATGCAGCGCCTCCTTCGTACAACTCATGATAAATGAGCGAGAGCGAGAGCGAGAGCGCGAGCGCCATCTGTCGTGGAGTTTGGCGTGCGTGCATACTGAACTGTCGATCGATTTGTTAAAGTTGCGCGTCGCTCCGCGTAATCTCGCTCTTCGTCGGATTTTCTAATCCGTAGAATTTAGAAAATTCTAAACGTTTTGCGGAAATAAATAATCGAGCTGCTATCGCACATGCTTTTTGCGTAATGTATCGAACGACCGCAGCTGTGTACACGTTACTCGCTGTTGTTGTTGTTGGGGGTTACTGCCCCTGCTATATGTTCGAGTGTCAAAGAAACGTGCGAGCTGTGGCTGTAGCTGTGCGGTGACGACGCGGAGATTATTTTGGATTTGGTGCTAAAACCAGCTATCGTTATTTCGGACTCGTGTGAGTGATCTGTGTGTCGAGACCCCTTTTAGAAAACAGAGCGGGTGCGTTTAGACGTGCCACGCGTTGCTGTATATCAACCACATCGTTGGGGATGCTATTCTGTTCCTGCGGAACGCTAACTGGCTAGCTGCTACATCTATGATTGCATTTGTAACCATAACCGCATACGAGCACGCTCAGATGCACGCATGCACGCAAGCACTTACGCACGCACGCACGCACACACACACAAGCGCGCGCGCGCACACGCACGCGCACGCGCACGCATGCACGCACACACCACACGCGCGCGCGCACGTACGTACGTACTCACGCACGCACACGCACACGCGCACACACATCACGTAATCGTGCTGGCTTCTTTCTTTCTCCCGTGCGCGGGGGAGTCTTCTTGTTTTGTTTCCCTCGCACGAGGATCAAATATTAATCCGCCGCCCATGGGTGCCTGTGTCGTGTGACGCACGCAGGCGCCTGTATCCCTAGTCACCCCCGCTTCTCGGCCTGCCTGCCCCACACTGCGCGTCTCACACGCGTGAGTGCCGTAGCTAACCCGCCGTCGGGACACGAGACAAAGAAATCCTGGCGGAGCGCTAGTGTTAGTAGTGTTGACGAGGAGAGAGAGAGGGAGGGGGAGAATTATGACAAGCAAGCTGCCGTACCGCGGCGCTCGCAGCTGCGCATGCGCATGACGTTAGTCGATCGGGTTGGGTGAAGAGCTTCACGACTTGCATACGGACGCGTGCATGCATACACATAACCCGGTCTCGGAAAATCTGCTAAAAAGAGGAGGAAGAGAGAGACTCGAGCGTAGTATACTGGCTCGGTTCGTTCACTATATTGATCCCTCTCTGTCCTCTCGCGGCCGCTCTCACACTCGCTCGCTCACTCGCACACGCCTGGATGTGAAACTGTGCGGACGTGATGTCTTCGTGGAAGTGGTCGGTCATGATGAACACAGCTTACTTTGTTGATGTAACTGTACGTTGTAAGTCAGTGCAGTGTCGTCGTCAAATCGGAATGTATGTGGTCACGCCGACATTAATCGTGGCACGTTTGCGTGTTGACTCAATTTACTGGTGCGTCGACCTGGGCTCATAACTGATAGAAAAACACGTTTGTTGTAATTCCGTTGTTTGATGCAGTCTGTGCTCAATTGCGTTAATTGTGGGTAGGGGATGTGTATGGTAGTGCATGCTTATATATAATAATATATACGTGTGCACGTACAGGTGTGTATACGTGCGTGCGTGCGTGCGTGCGTGCCTGCGATCGGTGTGTATATGCGTACGTGCGAGCATGCTTGCCGGCATTTGAGAATTTAATAAGAAGGTTCGTGGTCTAAATGTGCAATTGTCTGTCTGTTTTCAGATAACTCTTAAGACATGACAATGAGCGAATATTACGAGGTCCTGGAGGTGAAACGGGGCGCAACAGACCAAGAAATCAAGAAAGCGTAAGCGAACTAGTTATGTCTCTCCTCAACCTCTCCCCCACTTCTCTTTTTGTATATCTCAAGCTCTTCCCAATTATCTCCGGCTCTACTCCTCTCCTACTCCTCCTCTCTCCCTCTCCCTCTCTCTTTCCCTTATCTATCTGTCTGGCTGTCTGACTGCCTAGCTGGCTCTCTCTTTCTCTCTCTCTCTGCTTGCGCTGTCTATAACTCTCGGTCTAATCATCTATCTATCTATCGATCTATCTGTCTGTCTGTCTGTCTGTCTGTCTGTCTGTCTGTCTGTCTGTCTGTCTGTCTGTC